CTTAAATTATTTTATTAATGAGAGTATGAACCCTGATAAAAGGCCCTGATAGTCCCCTTTATCATAGATATTCATTATCTTGTTCCACTGAAGTGATTACACTGATGAATTTTAATATCATTTTAGCATTGATAACTATCTACTCCAAAGTTTTCTTTTCCTGTATTTCTCACTTACATATGAGTGGTTGTATTGGTTTTATGTTTGACTGGAATGTTAGATAAATAGGACTAGTGAGAAAAACATCTGAGTGTGATTTGGAAATTTTTTCAAATAGGGTTGAAATGCACAGTGACTGAGAGGAGAATCTAATTAACTAGATTCCCAGATGAGAAGAAGCTGGAGGATGTGGAAGGCAGCATGTTCCTGGAGAACACTTATTCCTATGTGAGCAACTCTATGGATATTGTCATCATCTGTGGGCATCAAAAAAGATGTTTTTTTCAGTCTTTCTACAAGAAGTCAATACCAACAGCTCTATAGGATGCTACCAGGACTTCACTAATAGAATGAAAATACCAAACTGTCCAGTGCCTTGGACAGGGCTGTTACTGTGCTCTCTTCTTCCCAAATATGCAAATAGCAATTGATCAACTAACCAAAATCCAATCCAATAACCTTTAATTATAGTAAAGTTGAAATCATCCTTCTCTCTGGATCATCATGATAAAAAAAACCTCATCATTTTACAAACTTATGATCCACCTGTTGAATCTGCTCATTTACAGCATTAGGGAAAAAATGTGAAGTAGATCCCTGAAAAATAAATTAATGTGAAAACAAGGTCCCATTAATATTATATGCATATGGCTTTATCTTATTTGTACATAATATCAACTGCACTGGTATAACCTAGTTATCATTTATATAGAAGCCTCATGTATTATAACATATCTATGACATGTTTTCCCTTCTTCTCTTGCTTCCTCTACCCTTCCTTCCTTCCTTCCTTCTCTCCTTCCTTCCTTCCTTCCTTCTTATAATTTATGACTTGGACTCGCTTCAGAGCCAAATCAGATTTGAACTTTTAATCATCTTGCTTTCAAATTCTAAGCACTGGTCACAACTCATATGACCAGGCCTAGCTTCATGCTTCATTCCATTTCTCCAGTGATGTTTATTCTTTGTGGAAAACCTCAAAATTCTTATTTTGACATAATTGTCAATGATCCATTCAAAAATTAATATTTCTTCTTTTTGCTTTATTGAATTCAATTCAGATTTCTAGAGATCTTTTTGTAGTGCATTGCACAATAAAAATTGATAACTTTTCACTAATTTTTCATTCCAGTTATTCACACTCAAAATCACTTCATAATGTACAATAAATGGACATTAAGTCCAAGTCATAGGTGAAATATAGTGTTCAGAAATAAAAAAAATTAACTTTGGGGGATGATTTTCTTGGTCATATACTAATAATTATTTGGAATTTCTAACTATGAGCTAAATATTTATGGAACTGTAAATCAGTAGGAATTTGTGTGAATGAGATGAAACAGGGAAACCTGGGTATCAATCATATTTATATGGGTTCGGGCTTGTGTGGGTGTGTAATTTTTTTGTTAGTGTATTGCTTTCCATGTGTCTATGATACTATATTTGACTTATATTTGAATTTTATATTGTATCCCAAAGTAAGACAAATAAATTAACTAAAGAGAAGCCAATGCACAAAATCTATTAAAAAGAAACTAAAGTGGAATTATTATTTGAATCATAAAGACTGCCAATCCAAAAATGGAATAAACTCATTTGTAAAAAAAAAAAAAATCGTATGAGTTGACAAAATACCCTGAATAGCCAAAGCAATCCTGGGTAAAATAACAATGCTCGGGGGGGGGGGTCACCATACCAGGTCTCAGATTATATTACAGATTATAGTCAAGAAAAAAAACCCAGCATGGTACTGGCACAAAAATAGACACATAGATCAATGGAACACAATGGAAGATCTGAATGTAATTACATGCAATTTCATCTGCCTGATATTCAACAAAGGTGTTTTAAGCACACACAATGAAGGAGAGACAGCATCCTCAACAAATGTTGCTGGCAAAACTGGATCTCCAACTGGAGAAAAATGAAACTGTACCTTTGTTTTTAACTCACACAAAAATCAACTTGAAATCAATCAAAGAACTGCATAAAAAATCTTTGAAACTCTGAAACTGCTAGAACAAAATATAGGCAGTACCCTCCAAGATATAGGCATGGGAAAGGAATTTCTAAGTCAGATACCAGCTACTCGGGCATTAAGGTCAACAATTAGTAAGTGGGGCATCATTAAACTACAAAACTTCTGTACAGCAAAAGAAACAATTAAAGAAGGGAAGAGGAAACCCATTGAGTGGGAGAAAATCTTTGCCAGCTACACATCCAACAGAAGATTAACATCCAGAATATACAAAGAACTCATAAAACAAAGAAATAAGAAAATACATGACCCGCCAAAAAAGATGGGTGAAAAACCTGAACAAAGAGTTTTCAAATGAAGAAATAAAAATGACTAAGAAGCACCTTAAAAGGTGCTCAACATCCTTAGTAATTAGAGAAATGCAGGTAAAAACCACTTTAAGAATCCATTTTACCCCAGTCAGACTAGCTAATAGGATCAAGTGAACAAAAGACTTCAAATGCTGGAGAGGATGTGGAGAACGGGGAATGCTCATTCACTGCTGGTGGGAATGCACACTCATGCAACCACTCTGTAAAGCAGTGTGAAGAACACTCACAAATCTAAAAATGAATCTACCATATGATCCAGTTATACCACTCCTTGGCATTCTTTCAATTGTTTTCCATTTAGAAAGATCTTGACTGTAGGTTTATTGTATATAGCTTTAATTATTGTGAAGTGTGCTCCCTCCAGTACAACTCCCTCTAGGAATTTTAACATAAATATTGGGTTCTGTCAAATAAATTTTTGGTATCTATTGAGATTACTGTGTGATTTTTTTTGTCTTAAAGTCCATTTATACAAATTATTATATTTATTGACTTGTGTATATTGGACTATCCCTGGATTTCTGGAAAAAAGCCGACTTGAGCATGGTAGATGATTTATGTGACTCTGGATGGAATTGAAAAACTCAAAAGATTGTTGTTTCCAATTTAAAACAACAGGAAAAAGGATTACCAACAGAATGAATGAAATGGAAAACAGAATATCAGAACTGGATGATAAAGTTGAAGAATTAAACCACACAAGCAAATCATATGAAAAGTTTCAAAAAACATAGGAATGTAGTATGTAGGTAATGTGGGACACCATGAAAAGACCAAATTTATACATCACAGGCATAGATGAAGCAAAAGAATCTCGGGTGAATGGCATTGAACAGATCTTCAATAGGATTATTGAAGAAAATATCCCCTAATTAAGGAAAAACATAGTCATGCATATACAAGAAGCACATGGAATGCCAAAGAGACAGGACCAGGAGGACACTCTCCATGACAGATCATAGTAAAAACATTAAATGTACAAAACAGAGAGAATACTGAAAGGTGAAAAAGAAAAACAAGTTATATATAAATGAAAAATCATCAGAATTACAATCGACTTTTCAATGAAAACTGTAAAAGCCAGAATACCTAGAGCAAAGTATTCCAAGTTCTAAATGATCAAAGACATCACCCCAGAATATTTTACATAGCAATATTTTCTATCATACTTGGAGGAGAAAGACAAATATTCCATGACACAAACAGACTGAAAGACTTTATATCCCCCAAACCAGCCTATGTAGAAGGCTCAAAGCCATACAGAGGACTGAAGAATGGAATGACCATACCCAAGAGGCTACAGAAAGAAAACAAATGAAAGTATAATTATAGAAACACACACACACACACACACACACACAAGAACTGGGTGGGGGATGGCTGGAGAGATGGAAAAGTAGTTAAGAGCACTGCTTGTTCTTGCTGAAGATCCACTTTCAAATCATAGTACCCATGTGGAAGCAAAAAAAGTCTGTAACTCCAGTTCTATGTGATTCAATGCCCACTTCTATCCTCCATGGGTACTGCATGACATGGGTGCATGTGGGTAAAATGCAGGCATAACACTCATTCACATAAAATAAAAGTAAATATTTTTTTTAAAAAAATTAAAACACCAAGAGCACAAACAGAAAATAAAATGACAGTAACAAATACATATATTTCAATAGTGACTTTTTATTAATGGCCTCAAACACCCAGTCAAATATCAAAGAAGATTTGAATGGATTAAAAACCAAAATCTATCTTCTTCTTCCATACACACAAAAAAAATTCATCTTACCCTCAAGTATATCATTACCTTAGGGTGAAAGGATGTAAAATTATATTCCAAGCAAATGGGATTGAAGGAAAAGCAGGCACTGCTAGTCTAATATCTGACAAAATAGAATTCAAATTAAAATTAATCAGAGGAGATAAAGAAGGTCACTTCGGGGCAGGAGAGATGGCTCAGTGGTTAAACACTGACTGCTCTTGCAGAGGACCCAGGTTCAATTCCCAGCATCCACATGGTGGCTATGAACCATCTTTAACTCCCATTTCAGGATAATCCAAAACCCTCTTCTGACCTCCACGGCATTGCACAACATGGGTACACTCACATACATGCAGGCAATACACTCTTACACACAAAAATAATAAATAAAATATTTTTACAAAGAAGGTCATTTCATTCTGATTAAAGGAACAATGAATCAAGAAGTCACTGCAGTCATGAATATATACGCACCAAACTCTGTAGCATCGAATTTAACTAAAACAGTGCTACAGGACTTCAAGACAAAGATGAACCCCACCTCAGTAAACATAGGTGAATTCAGTACTCTACTATTTCCAGTAGTAAGGTCCCCTGGACAAAGAATAAACAAAAAGGTATCTGAATTAAATTATATTCTACATCAAATGAACCTAACAAATATCTACCTACAAAAATTCTCAATAAAATATTTGCAAATGTCATATATACATACACACATTCAAAAGACCATCCAGACTTTCTTGTGCTTACCACAGGCTGTGTTCTTATACTGACTGATAGAAAGAGGAGGCAAAGAAAACCTGTCCCATGTACACCTCAGCCCGTGCCACTGTGTATGGTCTGTATTGTGAATGGGGAGACATGGGGAAAAAAGATCATCCACCATGACCATTAGGATTTATTGCAGACATCCAGGAATGGTTCAATATACACAAGTGAATAAATGTGATAAATCATATAAATGGACTTAAGGTAAAAAAAATCACATGATCTATCTCAACAGATGCAGAACAGGCCTTTGACAAAATCCAACATGCATTCATGATACATATCCTAGATGGAATTGTACTGGTGGGAACATATCTCAACATAATTAAGTCTATATAAAACAAGCCAACAGCTAGCATCATTCTAAATGGAGAAAATTTCAATATTTCCCAACAAATTGTCTGCTATTCCCATTCTTTTTTCAATATAATACTTAAAACTCCAGTTAGAACAAGACAATAGAAGGAAATTAAATGCATACTAATTGGAGAAAGGAAGTCAAATTACCCCTATTTGCAGATGATATGATATTATACATAAGAGATACCAAAAATTACACCAGCAAACTTCTAGAAATGATAAACTCATTCAACAAAGTGGCAAGTTACAAAATCAAGCAACCAAAATTAGTGTTCTTTCTATAAACAAATAATGAGCAGTAAAACAAACATTTCAGGAAAACACTTTCATTCACAATAGCCTCAAGTAAAAGTAAAATATTTAGAGATAAATATTACTAAAGACATTAGAGTCTTTACTAAAAAATTTAATTTTTTGATGAAGGTGATGAGGAAGATACAAGGAGATGGAAAGAGCTCCCATGCTAATGGATTGCTAGAACAAATATAATGAAAATTATCTTCTAACAAAAGCAATTTACAGATTTAGTGCTACCCAAATCAAAATCCCGTGTAATTCTTCCCAGAACTAAGGAAAAAAGCATCTTAAAAGTCATATGCAAATGTAGCAGACCAAGATAGATAAAATATTCCTAAGCACAAAGATCAATGCCAAAGGGATTACCATACCAGACCTCAATGTATATTACAGAGTCATAAAACCAGCATGATAATTGCACAAAAACGGACATACAGATTAAGGGAACAAAATAGAAAACCTAAACGTGAGTGCATGCAATTTCACCCACTTGATATTTGAAAAAGATGCCAGGAACACTCACTGGAGGAAAGACACTGTTTTCAACAAACGGTGCTGACAAAATTGGATCTCACAGAATGAAATTAGAACCATATCTAATATCTCTACACACACAAAAAGAACAACTCCAAATGGATCAAAGACCTCAGTGTGATGCTTAAAATGTTGACACTGTTAGAAGAATACATAGGCATTATCTTAAAACATATAGGTGAAGGAAATGACTTTCTAAATTGGACATCAGTTGCTCTGGAATTAAGGTCAAGAATAGACAAACTAACTCAGTAAACTAAAAGTCTTCTGCATGACAAAGGAAACAACCAGTTGAGTGAGGAAGAAACCTACAGGCTGGGAGAAATCTTCACCAACTATGCATCTGGCAGAGGACTAATATCCATGTGCAAAGATCTCAAAAAATAAAGAAGCAAGAAAACAAATGACCCAACTGATAAATGGGCTATGGATCTAAATAGAGAGCTCTCAAAAGAAGAATTAACAATGGCAGAAGAAACACCTTTAAAAGTGTTCAACATTGCTCCAAGTCTCATGTCTGAAGTACATCCTGCCTTTAGCAATAAGATCTTATCTTCATATTCTGGGAGGTAATCAAGCCTTTGTCAACAGCCTGCAGTCTCTTGGACTACCCTAACAAACAACTTGAAGGGAAGTTTCTCCTGTCTGGCACTGCATTTCTTGTTATATATCTTTCAGGTATACACATACATTCATGTTCAATACTGTATGTGTAATTTTCAAGGTGTTTTTTTTTTGAATAATTATATTTTCCTCTGGCTTTTAAAACAAACTACTCTTTATTTATCTCTCTATTCTCTCTTTCCCTGTCTAAAGTCCCTCCTCCCTGGCCAGTTTAAATATTACCATTTCCCCTTTGGTAATACCTGTCTCCTATTATCCCCTCTATCTTGAGCTCCTTCTTCCCCCTTACCCCTATGGTTATTTGTGTGTTCTCTCCTCTTTCCCAGTTGAATACCCCAATTTTCCACATTTCCCCTTTGGTAACATCTATTTCCTACTATCCCCCCATCCGCTATCCCCTCTCTGTCTGGCTCTTTGCCTTTACCTCATTGCTTCCTCTACACTTTCCTGGCTCCTGCTATTACATCAGGATATATACTCAAATATAAGGGATTGGGGCTAAGATCCACAAATGATGGAGAACATACATTGTTTGGTTTTTGGAGTCTGTAACTTCACATAACATTTTCTAGTTTTAGTCATTTACCTGTAAATTTCTTGATTTTTGTCTTTCCATAATGCTGAGTAGAACTCCATTGTGTAAATGTACACAATTAAGGGACATTTAGATTGTTTCCATTTCTTAGCTACTATGAAAAAAACAGCAACAAACATGGATGTACAAGAACCTTTACAGTAGGATGAGTCCTTCAGGTATATGCCAAAGAGTGGTATAAACAGATCATATGGTAGTGAAGAGCCAGAATGCAAGTCAGAATGCACTGACTCCATTTTGGCTAGCTGTTTCAGGCAAGCCCGGACAAGACAGGCATGTCGTAAATTTCCAGTTGCTGCCCCCCCAACCCCCCCCTCGCTGGAAAGCTATAGGTTAAGCAAGCCCGGTCATGTAAAAGCCCTACAAGGTAAAAACAAAAACTTCTGGTCCTACAGATAACAGTCAGCACATTCCAGTGCCCTGAAGACAGCCCCAGCCAATAAGGGTCCTCCCCGTACTCAGTACATAGGGCCATCCAATCATTTTAGAGGATGCTTGGTATGCACGGGCTTCTATGAAACTTCCCTATAAAAGCTTCTGCCTGCTAGTGTTTGAAGCCAGATGTCATCTTTGGCTTGTGGAGTCCGTGCCAGGCTAGCCAACAATTTGGTTGCCTTATACTTTAAATTTCTGAATAAAATTTTTATGCAGTTTTTTTTTTGTTGTTGTTGTTTTGTTCTTGTTGTTGTTTTGTGTGTGTGTGTGTGTGTGTGTGTGTGTGTGTGTCTGTGGGAATTATTACTGACTCTCAAACCCTAACATTTTGGTGGCTCATCCGGGATCAGGAATAGAGACCCCAGACTCATAGGAGTGTTCTGCCCTGCTTTCTCTCTCTCTCTCTCTCTCTCTCTCTCTCTCTCTCTCTCTTTTCCGTAGTCTGGACATCCTGGGGCTCAATGGAGACAAAGTGGACATGCTATTGATCCAAGAGCCAGAGCAGATAGGGGGTCATACTCCAGCCTAACGTGGAATCTAGGTGGGACCGGCCCAGAGTCTCAGCCCAGCCCGACGTGGAATCCAGGCAGGCCAGACACAAGATTTTGGTTGAGTCTGATGTAGAATATAGGCTGGCCAAATCTTTTTGGAAAAGGGACAGGGGCAGCCTTCTCCACTGACTCTGCAGACTGCGAGATTTTCATTTCCTCCTCTAGGGAGACACCATCTCATACTGTTCTCAACCTCTGTTTGGAGCTCCGCCTTGTCTATTAACTTTCTATCCTACTTCTCATTCTAATTCCTCTCCTTACATGCCTTTTTCTTGAAGCTTACCCCACCTGGGGCCAGAAAGTCTCATCATCATCAGCTCCCCTTGATTTAGTTCTTAGTCATTTTCAGGATTACAAACAGATGGGCTCGAACATATCTGGACTCTGTGTCATGCCGACCCATCCAGACCCTCTGCACCATCGAATGGCCCTCCTTTAGTGTTGAATGGCCATCAGAAGGATCTTTTAACTTGTTGTCTTTGAGGAACTGGGGCACCCTAACCAGATCCCCTACACCCTAGGTTGGTGATATCTGGTCACACCCCTGCCGAACAGCTGCACCCCTGCCACCAGGGCTGAAAGGGTCAGCCACATTGCTTCCTCAGAGGAAAGCATAGGCCAGGAATTCACCAGGCCCAGAAGTTCTTCCCTCGGCAAAAGAGGAATTAAGCCCCACCCCCTTACAGGGCCCCATCAGGGACCCAGGATAGACCTAGGGAGCATAGGTCTTGGGCTTCTTCCTCCTCTGGCTCCTCCAGGTCTCCATCCCTGGCCCCCATGACCGAGCCCAGCCCTTTACACACCTGCTCATGGGGGAGGGGAGGCTGGTCCAAGCTCTTCCTCTAAGAGAGATTGGGTCCCCAAGAGGACAGTATAGCCCCAGTAGTCTATTTCCCTTTTTCTACTAGTGATCTGTATAACTGGAAATTGCAGACTCCCTCCTTTACAGAGAAACCCCAAGCACTAGTTTCCCCCTAGAAATAGTTCTTTTTACCCATCAACCCACTTGGGATGATTGCCAACAGCTACTAAATATCCTGTTCACCATGGAGGAATGGAGCCGCATCCTCGGGGAATGCAGGCGCACAGTCCCTGGGAATGATGGGCGACCAACTGAAAATGAAAACTTGATTGCAGATGCCTTTCCCCTCATGTGCCCCATGGATGGATGCAACTACAACACTCCAGAAAGTAAGGAGCGCCTAAACGTCTATCACCAGATTCTTATGAGGGGTCTCCGGGTGGCTGCTAAGTGCCCTACAAATTTGTCTAAAGTTAGTCAGGTAATGCAGAAAGAGTTGAGTCCCCAGGGTATACCTGGACGCCCTCCTTGAGGCTTTCAGGACCTACATTCCCATTAACCCTGAGGCTCCAGAAAACCAGGTGGCTGTTAATATGGCTTTTGTGAATCAAGCAGCCCCAGACATAAAACAAAAGCTTCAAAAGTTAGAAAGCTTAGTGAAAAAACCTGTCTGAACTGACAGCTGTAGTAAACAAAGTCTTTATCAACAGAGATACCCTGAAGAAAGACAGGCTAAAGGATTGGCCAAAATTCTGCTAACTGAGAGAATGGCCAACCCCAGATGGAGCATGAAAGAAAACTCTCATGCCACTCCTCAAATGCCGCGGGAGTGCCATCCTCAATTGAAAAGTGCCTGTTGTAAGCAACTAGGGCCCTGGGCTAGAGATTTCCCCCAAAGA